ATTTAAAATTTAAAAGCATGTAAAGGAATGTAAGAATTTTTTGAAAATGCATGTGCTTTGATTCAAATTAAAGTTCTTTCTATACAAAAAGAGGATGCTACAACAAAAGTTTGTGAATCTGCAATAAGGTTTTATGTAGTATCACAGAAGAACAACATAGTATGAAAACACATGCACTGTATTTTTTTATGCAGCAAATGTTCAATGAAAGCAAATATTTTTAAATCATAAAAGATTATTCCTTTGTTGTATTTCAACAGTAAATAAGGTTAGGTTTATTACATACATTTGTTTTCAGGATTTATTATTACGGGAAATATCTGCCTAACGTCCGGCAAAAACTGATATCAAAACGCAACAAACAATAGGTCATTCCATCGTTTCGGGTGTTACGTTCGTACACACATATTCAACAATTTAATGTATTTTGAAATAGTATTTTAATAATGTTAGTGCCTTAATCTGTCCGTTTTTAGTTGTTTTATCTAAATAATAAAGTTTGTACAGCTTAGAATGTAGGATAACGAAAATATGAGTCGAAAAGTGTGCGTTTCGGGCGTTACGAGATTTTGCCTCTATGTTCTGACTGTTGCTGCATTTACTCGAAATTTAGCGAATTTTCTTAAGGAATCATACCTAAAACTTACAGGACTTCTAAAGTATGAAATTTACAAACCATGTAACATACAATCACTGTTAAATAAAACGTTTTACTATTTTTTTATAAATTTTTTCTTTGTTTCGGGTGTTACAATGGTTCTGTTTCGGGTGTTACGAGTACGAAAATTCAACGCGTTTTATCGATAAAATCGGTGTTTTATTAGCTTCTAGGTACTTCAAAATAAGGAGTAGGTACAACAAATAAACACAAATAGAGCGAATTCTGGTTTGAAATTACGAAGCAGCTTTTTTTTTTAAATATACAAAGTTCAAGTTTCATTTTTCCTCAGAATATAGCTTTTTCTATTGTTTTTGGCTTGAAATAGGATTACTTTAATTTATAATTACGATATTTATTGGAAATGGCAAACATCGACACTTTTTAGCAGTACCTTAATTTTAGTGTTAAGTCGACATTTCAAAAAAGTCTTAAATTGAGAAATATGACTCCTTTTCCGATGCCAGCGCTAGTGGGAGGTCAAAGGAGCCTCACAGTAATACTTTTTCACTTCTCCAAGCAATATACACACATTATCGACATATAAATAAAAATGTAATACCCGAAACGTTTCGGGTGTTACAGTTTTTAATCAAGAAAGAAACATACTAAATTAGTATCATGCTCAGATATTAGTTAGTATTTGAAATCATTACTACCATGACCTTACTTTTACCAAATATTGTTACCCTAATCCATGTGTAAGGTACAATAATAAAACAAATACCTGTTTTTCTGTTTCGGGTGTTACATCGCCGAAGTAACAAGAAAACACACTTAAAACTTGATGATTATCCATTTTTTTGGGACTATGACGCTATCTACCAATACTATGATAAATACCCTCGAATCATATAGTGGCAAAACGTTTCACAGATTGATAGTTTTTTTTAAATCGTATTACCAATAATTAGAGAGAAAATGATCATTCAGACAGTTGACTTAAGTATAGACTTTGAAGACTAATAACTTAAAAATTACTTGTTTCTTTCAGATTTTTTTTGTTGCACATTATAATTTGGAATGTTTACTTTCAAAATTCATCAGATTTAATGCGAAAAGAACATATTTAGTTTTTCACCCTCGGTAACATTTGTCATGGAATGACTCAATAAATAAACGAACTGAGAATTTCCGTCTGCAGCAAAACACAAATCATCATTCACTTATTTGTACAGTCAGTTATTAGTTTGAAATCCTACAACATAAACTTAACTTTTTATTACTTCTTAAGAAACCAGTTACTTATTAAAATACGTAATTAGTTGTTCAAACAATATTCCTGTAGTTTCAGAAGGAATAAGACACATTGTTTAAGCAAATGGACTTCAAATGCAAAGGTTTAAGGAAAAGATGGGTATGATACCATAGGATGGGTATGATAGAGCAGTGAAACATTTTACAGTCAGACAAACTTTTAGAACTCACAATGTAATCATCATCAAAAGATGAATTGAATACATTTTCAAAGGGATGAGTTAATTTTAGGCATTAGTAAAACTTTTTGGAGGTATATGACTTTTAAATAAAATTGAGTTTAAATTAATTAAATGGGTCTATCAAAATCTTTCTTTCTTTCAATTAAGAGACAAGCGATAGCCACACATAGAAACTTAAAGTTCCAAAGTGATAAAAACAGCTTTATAAGAAAAATATTTTTTTAGTAATTTCTTACTACGAGATCAGAATTTAGGAAAATTCTGCTACAAAAATGAAGTTGAAAATACAACAATGAACAGTTTTATTTTAAACACATTTTTGATTGGATATTCATATTATTTATATTATCACATAAGTCTCATAATGATTTCATGATTTTTTTAAATAAAATTCTCAATTCAGTAAATTCTAGTGATGGGCCGACTATGGTCTTTGCCGACTAACCGACTAGCCGACTAATCGGTTTTCAAATTGCCGATTAGTCTAATACCTACTTGTCCGAAGATTAAATTATCTAGATTTTCTCAAAGAAATATGAATATCTAGATTTCTAAAAAGATAAAATAACTTTTTGAGAAATGACATTTCTTTAATATGAGAAAGAATAAAAAGCAACATTACAATCACCTAACAGTTCCTAAGGTAGATGTCATAATTTTCGACGGCAGACGAGTCAGAGGTGACAATATGATCGCCCTCTGCTGAGCTAGGATGCGCGCCGTGATATTATTCTTATTTTATCGACGTCAAAATGTATGAGCAAAATTGCGCTTATCGCGGCACGCATCCTAGGCCCACTGATTCCTCTCCACCATGAGAGCATCAGGTCAGCGAGCTGGGGGCGTGGGGGTACCTACCCCGCCTGCATAGCAGGGACTAGCACCACCACCGTCACCGTCAGATAAGCAGAGACCGCCATACAGGTGGGCAATTGCCGGGACGGACTGTGATAGTTGATGGCTTTGTCCGGATTCCCATATTTCTTTACACTAGGGCGATCTCAGGGGTTATTTATGTGGGTATTCCTCATCCTTCCGATGAGAGGAGCCCCACATAATCTACCACTTCCCCGCAGGATAGGTATGCAATTCCATGCATTTTTTCCCCGAAAAAAAAGTGTCATAATTTTGGATAAATTAAATAAACTTTACACATTTTGATGATTTCCTGCTAATTTTAACTAATGTTAACTTTGTATGAATTTAGACTGATTGCCAAAATTTTAAATCAGGTGAAACCACTTTTTACTGATTTTTTGCAGTCAATAGTGGTTTAGATAAACTCCCTTGGTGATTAGGTATGAGCTTATTTCATTCACATATTTAATTTTGTAATGCGCCGATTATAATCGGCATATTTTGCCGAATAGTCGTCACTAGTCGGCCGACTACAAATGATGCCGAATAGTCGGCTTTCCCGACTAGTCGGCGACTAGTCGGCCCATCTTTAGTAAATTCCTATAATGTTTTTGTGGAAGGATAAGTTGGAAGCATGACTGATCATGTGGTAAACATAAGAAGCTGTTAAAAAGTCATAAATCCTATTGTGATCTAATAAAACTAACAATGTACATCTGGTCCAGCTCATCTTACGGGCATATCTAATTTGAATCTTATAGTGAAGAAACTGGGATGGGAATAAAGATAACTAATGAGAAATAAGTCACATGGGAAACTGGGTAGAGATGGGTAAAAAATAATGGAGGTGAGAATTTTTTGAAATCAAGATAATGTTGCAGTAAGAAGAATAAAATTAAAATGGGAATGTATAAATTAATCATTATGTAGCTTTTTGTTACAATAATGGTAGAATTTCTACCTAAAAAAGTTTGATATAACTTTTTGTAATGCTGAAAAAATATTTTAAAATGTTTTTGTACTTTTTGTACAAGTCAGGTCTTTTCCCTCCAAGCTTATAGTACTACAAACATTATTGTATGACAGTGATTTGATTAGATGAAAATAAAAAAAGATATGTGGCCGTCAGCCAGAAATTTCTCATATTACCACATATGGTAAAACGGAAGGTCGCGCGAGAACTCGTATTCAAGAACAGTCAATGAAGATAACACATGGTCGAGTTGGAGTTACGAACGACTAAGCTATAAAAATACACGGTAATTAGCAACCGCTGTCTGAAGGATGCAAACAGGTGTCATAGGAAGTACGTAAAGATTATCAAGTTCAACACTCACTCTGCTCATTGGATGCTGTCACTGCCGAGTCGCTCATATAGGACCCACTCCTCACCACAGGACCCCATTGAGGTCTTCTCCCGCTATCTTTAGGTTCTGTCCTTTCCACATCATCAGCTTTACACAAATGAAATGCGAATACGCACCAATAAAACACTAAACCGATACGCATCGTGATCTCTCAATGACATTAAATTAACCGCACACGATTAAACAACACTTTTAGGATGCTGAATACTTATACACATTATAAAACTATACGCTAACAAAGGGTTTTTATTTTCTTCTAAGGCCACATAGCACGTTCAACCAAAACAACACAAAAACTACGAATTTTTATCACAGAAAGAAACCTCGCAAGGTTCGAGGTCGAAAAATTTTGACATATGAATTATTATGGCAACATGAAGAAAAAATAATGGCGGATTTTAGTTGCCATAAAGGAAAAATATAAAGCTTCCACACACGGTACGATAGCATAACGTTACGTTATTTATGCTTAAATAACGTTAATTACAAATTAAAAATTCTACTTTTTTCAATTTCGTTAAAAAGCTCAATTTATTTCCAGGGAATATGAAGACATTTCTGAATAAAACATCATGCTATACTAATTTTTTGAATATTTATTACATTTATTTTACTGTAACAAGTTGTGTTGATGGCATAGATAGCAAAAAATGGAACACGACCATCCGCCTCTATTTACCAAAATATGTCAAATGACCTTGTCAGTTTGTAAACAATACCTTGACTTCATACAAATTTATATAATTTCCTACTTGCTCGTTACACGATTTTAATATTTCACCTTTATTTTCGTGTTGGGGAAATTCCGCGTGGGTGTAAAAATGAATATCGATTTTGAGACTATGGCGGTCTTGGAGGAGGAGTCGCAGACCGTGAGTACAAAATTTTTTCTTTGTTTTGCCAGATTTTGAGATTGGTGTCGTATCTGTTTACTTCTATAAATAGCTCGAGTGCCCGTGTGTTGATGACACTCGTGTGAAGTGATTAGGTGATGTAATGGCATGTTATCAACACCAATAGTCCACATTCATGACTTGAGCTAAAATTCTGTGATAGCTGTGATACGAATTCCGCAGCCGAATTGATTAGTTCTAATCGAGGCCGTATTGCACAATAGCAGGAACGATTTCATCATGCCATGCTACAAAATATGTGATCAATATCATGTGTAACCTTTCCCCCTTTTTCTGGTTTATTGAAGGTCATTACTATGGGTTTTCATGAAGGATTTGTTTACAATATTAGATGTTATAAAAATTGATTATTGGGCTATTGATCAGATTAATGATATTATCTATTTCTTAGTTATTGAAATGCAAGGAAATTCATGCATGTGATGCATTTTAAGAATTTTATAAAAATCAATTTGAGATACATTTGCTTAGCAAGTAGGTAAGCATTAATGCTAAAATAAAATTGGAATCTAATTGTAAATTAAACTAGAAATAAGGCATAACCCAACTTATTAGGTATTTCATTGATCTAGATAGGTATAAGTTTCTGCATTAATATGTTACAAACTTGGTGAATAATAATATGATGTTTTTTATCTTTTGAATCAGACAAAAATATTATGAATAAGTAATATGAATTACATGATAGGATATTAAAAATAAACCTTGCCCACAATCTAATTCTAATCAATCATTTTGATGAATTTTTGTCTTATCATCTAATTATCAACAGTAGCACCCTCTAGTATTTTGACACAGACTTGCATGAAACAAAATAGAGAAATTGATTCATATCATATGACACAGATGGCGCTATGTCTGTAAGATAAAACTTCATTCATGTTGTACACACGTCATGTTTGCCAGCTGGCGCCACTGTCTTAGCCACTAGAAAGTGACAGGAAGGACTTTACGCGCTAGTGGCGCCAACTGGTGAACGTCATTATTAAGGAAGCCTTCATTATTTTACATCATTGACATCATTTTATTTCACGACACTTCATTATTTTACACCAAAGTCCCTGATTATGTCAATTACTGTCGAATTCTTTATTTTAGCGCAAAATCATACTATTTCTACAACAACAATGCGTTCTTAAATCCGCTATGGTTAACGGTGATGTGATTACCGTATCTTATCAGAGCACTTGTCAACCGGTACACCCGCACACTAAACTAAACTGTTACGTGACTAAACAAGTCACTTCAGCTTTAGTCTAGACCAGCGGTTCCCAAACTTATTTAGTCTACTGCCCACTTTGAGAATAAATAATTTTTTAGCGCCCCCCATTTTTGTAGTCAAGAGTCGAGCTCAGTCGGTGTCTAAGAGTCCTCCTAGTAGATGACGCCTCCCAAGCCTCTACACAACGTCCCGATTTTTTTTCTAGGTCTCTCACCGCCCCCCTTTAAGACTGCAGCGCCCACAAGGGGGCGTTATTGCCCACTTTGGGAAAGACTGGTCTAGACTCTAGACTGGGTTCAGCAGTTCATGGTATTTACTTTCCGCGCACTTGAAAACCGCCAGAGCACTTGTGCGGATAGAGACTATCCATCAGCTCTCCTGCAGTAAGCCTAGGCGCAGACCACCGACTTTTAGTTGGCCGATAGTTGGGTCGGGCTGTTAATCAGTATGGAGATGTATGGAAGTGCGCACATTACACCGATTTGGTATCGGCCGATTCTTCGTACAAACACAGAATAATAATAAGTACTACGTACAGAAGTTTTACTTCGCGAAGGTATTTAAAAAAATATATGCTCAGTGTCATTAACAATATGGTGTAATTTAGCCTGTCTCAAGAGTCAAGCATCATTTTGTTGACAAACGTCAGTGATCGGCACTGCGCCGAAGCTATAGGACTGACTTCGGTAAAATGATGTGACGTGAGGTGCCAAACTGCGGAAAATGGCGGAGGAAATACATGATTTAGCACGAATTATCATGAATAATATTAACTACTTATTTACCTCTCAGTGTCTTGAGGCAACTTAAAAAAGTACATTTTGTGTTTTTATTATTATTTAGGCAGTTAAATACTGCACAGTATTTAGTACACCATTTTCTTTATTTTCTTCCGTCATACACAAGAATACGCGTGCGTGAGTCAATGTTCGCTCGTATGTGAGGCCTTGTCGAATAGTATCCTGTAGGTGGCCCATCGTGCGTGTTTTGTTTTCGATGTAAACTCGCGGAGATGAACAGGCCTGGTACAAATTAGAATCGGCCAACTAAAAGTCGGTTGTCTGCGCCTAGGCCAAGGCATGATTTAACCTGTCTTCATTTTGTTAGTCAGTCGTATGGCTGATTCTTCGGAGTCTTCAAGTTGCTCCTTGGGGTGCTCCCCATTGTTGTGCTAACAGGCAAATAATTTAACAATGTCTGCAGTGGAAAGTTTAAGGCAGTCTTTGCGCGTTTTTCTTTTCGCATGGAAAACTTCTAGTACGAGTTTTTAAAGCTTCACTGGCAGCGAAGTTTATGTCGGAATATTAACCAAAAGTTTGCAAACGTGACTTGCTATTTCGGACATTTTTCCTTATAACTTTGGAAAGTCGTCATTTATGCGGGTTGCAGACCAAGAGCAGCTATAACATTACTTAGTATAGTAGCTACTTTGGTAACTGCTAACTATACAAACACTATGGGAAACTGCGTTAGCTAGCGAGGTAATTCAAACTAACATAGCTTAGCTCGTGGTCTAAAAACCAAATTAGACTCTACATACTTAACTATATAAATCATAACTACATACATTCAATTTATAAATGCTCCATCCTTTTTGTGTTGAAACATTGTATCCAGAAATCCACAGGACATGTTTGTTTCAAAACCGTTTCGTTTAACCGCACCTTAAAATAACTACCTACATACATAAGATGCCGCAGTATATTATGTTGTATGTAATATGTCTTATTGTTACAAATATCAACAATTCATTTACCTTTCTACATTTGTAAGTGTAACTATCTGTGTGTAGTGTATCTATGTGTTACAATTCAATGTCTTGATACAATGAAAGGAAGTTCCATTACATTATGTACAACAAGCGAGTGTTTTTGCGTACCTACTACCTAACTTGTGCAAAGCGATTGTAGAGATTACGCGAGTATTCCCACCTCTCGTTCCCACCGCTGCAACACCTGTGTAGCCAGGATCTACAGCTTGACTGCCAATAAAAACCTAACCAGTGAAGGTCAAGTTTGTCCCGGGGATTGTAGAGATTGTCGACTAAAGACTTATTTGAGATCCAATCCAACATGAAAAATCATCAAAATTGGTTCACCTGTTGAGACCGAAAGGCACATGCCCCAGGGTAAGAGGGAAACGGAATATGAAGTCCGTTTTATTTTGGTGACGCACTTTTCAAGATGGTTCTCTCGTTCCCACCGCTGCAACTCCTGTGCATCTGGGATCTACAGCTTGACCGCCAATAAAAACCCAAGTTAACCCAACCAGTGAAGGTCAAGTTTGTGTTCTTTGTTTGTTGATGTTTGGAGGAAAGTTAAATTGTTATTGGACCCACAACGAAATTAATCAGAAGAACATAGGAGGAGTTCGAAGTTAAGGTTCGACTTCCCTCCAGTGCAAGCGGATGACAGGAGACAAAACAAAAGTTAACTATACCTTTATGAAAAGACTAGCGGTCGCCCGCGAGTTCGTACGCGTGGATCCCGTTTTACCCCCTTAGGGGGGGGGGGGGGTGTTGTGTTAAGCTACGTCATAACATCTACATACCTGATTTTCACAAAATCGCTTGAAAGCACAGATATTTTTCCTTGTCGTGACATGATTGGTGTAATAAATTGCAGAAACAGATGTATATTGTATTGAATTATGCATTAGGTTTGTTACGTTCATGTTTCCAAAGTCAGTGAGTTGCAAACTTGGGGATAAATTGGTATTTTGTCGTGCACCATCAAGTTTTGAGTAAAATTTTTAACCAGATAACCCACCCAGTGATAGTTACCCCAGAGTTATTTCAGTTTATCCTAGCGTTTCATTGAAGGTAGGCCAACATTTGTAATTTTGGTGTCCTTTTCAGGTCAAAAATGTATAAAATTAAATGTATAAGTTGTTTAATTGATGACTAATGGTCGTTTGATAAGAACACAATAACAACTGATAAAGTGTGGTGCTCTTACCTAATCGCAGATTGTTTACTTCGACCCTACACATTATCTTTATTATGTAGAATTGTATTGTTAATGTGTACATTCAATATTATGAATGTCATGTATGATTATATTTCGTGCGAAGGTAAGATAATTTTTTGGGCATTCAGTGTAGAACAATTTTGATAGCATTCAAAACCTGAACCGCACAAATCATTATAAATCCGTATAATTAATTATGTTTATTGCCGAATACATTTTCTTATGCAAATTGTAATTGTTGTGCCTTGCCTAAATTAATAATTTTCGTATTAACGAATGTGACAGAGATGGTGAATGAGGAGTGTCCTGTTGGGGAACTCCTTGACATGTTAAAACTACATGGAACTAATCTGCTTATAGTTTGGGACCGATTACAGATAAGCGCAAAAAAATCGTATTGGAAAATATGCTTCTTGTTCAAGGAGACAAAAAATATTCTAAACTAGCTTTCCGCCCGCGGCTTCGCCCGCGTGGAATTTTGTTTATCACAGAAAAACTTTACGCGCGCGTCCCTGTTTCAAAAACCGTCATAAAAACTATCCTATGTCCTTTCGCGGGACTCAAACTATCTCTATTCCAAATTTCATCAAAATCGGTTCAGTGGTTTAGGCGTGAAAGAGAGACAGACAGTTACTTTCGCATTTATAATATTAGTATAGATATCACGTCTTTGACCGTCTTTCATTCCAACTAGGTACACAATTTAAAGGCAGTTAATTCTAAATCATAGATAGACAACATATACCTACTTATAAATATTATCGAAC